TATAAATATATATAAAAGCTATCAGCGACGGAAAAGAGGACTGTAAAAAGATAAAAGGTGAAGAAACGAGTGTGTGGCTTCCTTTTCTTGCTGTTATTTTTCCTTGGAGGCCCATTTGGGTTTCCAGCGCCGTCGTTTCGCCTCACAGGGGTTGCACCTCTCTCTGTCTTATTTTGTTGTTCTTTTTTTTTGCTGTTGAGAGTCTTTTGCTTCTTCCAATAATTTATATACTGTTGACCTCGGTTGTTTTCATCACCCGCATCGCATCGAGTTGAAGCACAGCGGCAGTTAAGCAGTGGCATATATATATATATATATATATTATTTAGGAAAAAATAGGAAATAATAAATAAGCGATGACTGCACTGACTAGACCATGGGAAAATGCTGCCGAATCTTTGCCCTCTTCCCCCGTAACCAACGGCACGACTGCGGTGGCGCATCAAAGCCCCACCGTTGAAGTCAGCGCAACATCACCTTCAAATGCACTCACAACCCAATCTGCATCTGCCAAAGTTGCGCAAAGCTCATTGAACAGTTCTAAGCAGGTGTTATCGGGCAACAATACGACAGCTTCAGCCAACCGTTATGCATCTGGTTATAATTCTGGAACTGGATACAATGGTCTCGGCATGGGTGGCATGTATGGTGGTCTTGGTATGGGTAGCATGTATGGTGGTCTTGGTATGGGTGGCATGTATGGTGGCCTAGGAATGGGTGGCATGTATGGTGGCCTAGGAATGGGTGGTATGTATGGTGGCCTAGGAATGGGAATGGGCATGTCTGAAGATTTTCAACGCAGTCAGATGACTTTCATGCTTCTTGGGCGTCTGCTTGAAATGTGCGGCATGTTTGCAGGTGTTATACAGATGACTTTTGGGAGTGCTCTTCAGTTCATGGGCAATTATATCGGGATGAGTCAGCAGTACAATCAACTGAAATCTGGCATGTACATGGATGAAAGTGGAAAATGGGTTCAGCTACCGAAGAGAAGTCTCACTGACAAGGACCGTTTGAATACTTCCCACAAGCGAAGGTATGCGAGTCGAAAGCGAAGAGAACGGCCATGGGTTGCCACTTTGAGGCGAATCATATTCTTCTTGTTAGCTGTTTTTATTGCCAGAAGGCTAATGGTTCGGGCAGCAGCAGGACCGTTATCTCTACCTACGTCCTGAAGAGGAGTTTTGTTCCTGTTTTTGACTTATTTTCACCATTGAAACGGTGAAGATTCCTCCCCTGAAGTTTGTGGAACGCCTCGTCAGGAAAGAGTGCAAAAAAAAAAACAAGAAAAAATGGGGAATACCCTTTGTGTGGTTGAGGTTTATTATTATTATTATTCATGAATGCCTGTTTTGGTATATCTTTTTCCCCTGTGATCTCCTTGTGAATTTAGGAGAAGACTCTCATTTGATTCTTTCCTGTTTTGTTAAAGCGAAGTTTATTTCACTGGAAATTTGGGGAGTTTTCTCTTGCGCTTCCTTCACTTTGTATTTTTCTACTCACTTGAGAACTCCTTAGCGCAAGGAGACACATTCACTTTTCCTGCTATGGTGTTTTGTTTGCTTTTTCCTTGTTTCTTATGTGCTTGTATGTTGTTTTTGCCGCTTTTTTTTGATATTGGCGTGGCCCAGAGATGACGCTTGGTCGCCTTTATGCTCTTGGGCGGGGTGTGTTGTTGCCGATGGGTGGCTTTGTCACTGGATGGGTAGCGTATCGCGCCGTGGAAGAAAAGGGTCTCATTGACGAAAGCTACCTTCGACAGATCCGTGTGGGAAATCTCAAGTTGCAGCTCTATCTTCAGCAGCATGTGTTTCCTGTTGCATTCACCGATAAGTATGGCTACTCAGAGGACTCTCTCAAGATGATGATTGAGCGTCTCGGTAGGGAGGGTGGCGGTAACGAGGAGGCGGAGCGCTGGACATTTGAACAGATTCTACGGGAGTGCGATTTACCTGGACAAATAGCCTGGCTGGAGGAGCATGTTTCGTATGACATTCCCTATTTTTACATTGCTGATATTTTTAATAGTTGGTGCATTTTGCATCGTTCCTTGTTTACTGCGGAAACTGGTGACAAGAGGCAGGGTGCTAATTTGTCCCAGTGGGGCGACAACAACGATGCCTTTGCTTCGGAGGTATTATGCAGGGGAGTGGTCGAGAAAGCATTAAATAGGGTGCTCCCGTACGATGTTGCGGTGCGGGCACTTTGTGTGCTTGCAGTGGGACATACCTCAAATGCAAAGCTGCTGTCACAAATCATCTCACCCTCAGTCATTCTGGAGAGGTACGAGGCATATTTGAATGACCTCGAGCGGCGAAATATGATATCTGGCGATTCAATTTCATCTGCGGAAGTCGCTGCAGCGACGCTGGAGTTGTTGCGTGTGTTGAATGTTGCTTCAGTACATCGACGATGGATTCCATTTTGGGGTCATGCCTCAACAGGGCCCTATCCTATTGCTTCACAGCTTAATAAGGAGATGTGGTGCACATGTTTGGGGACTTTGCCGGCGGGTACCACAAAGCTTTGCGCGGATGCTACTCTTATTTTTGCTGACATTCTCTCTGAGATGTTTAACTGCCAGGGTGGAACTCGGCAATTGGACATGGATTGTGGAGGTAAGACCTCATAGCGAGCATGCATGGATGAGTACAAACGTCTTTCTCTTGTTTGTTTCGTATTATTACCACGTCACAGTTGAGCTTGCCGCTCTTTCTCTCGGTGTTGTTGGGCAAGTAGAGTGCCATTAAATAAAACAGTTCGTACGGATGATTTGGGTTTCTTGTTGTTGCTATCCTTCTCTCTGTCTCGCTGTGTATGTGTCTTTGCTTCCATTGCCTGCTTTGTTTTGTGTTCTGCACTCCACCCTGAAGGCGTCAGTTAGTCGCACCTGAAAATGCGCGAGGGTGTGGAGGTAGGTCGCAACGAGAATAGCTGGTGGGCGCGCCATGGGCATCTTTTGCCATTAGTGACTCTGTGTGTGTGCATTGTCGTGGCGACAGCGGTGAATGTGGTATGGGAGATTCAGTACGAACGTGCGGCAAGGGGCGACAACACCACCAAGGACATCCCAAGCACAACAAATACAATAACGACGACTACAACCACTTCTTCTTAGCGAGCGTCTGCGAATTGCTGGGGGAACATGTGACTTCCATGGGCCCAAGTGATTTCTTCTTGCCAGTGGTGAGAGTCGCGTGCGTGTGGCCAAATGTAGATGATGCGAGTGTAGATTTTATCCAAACTTGCCTGTTGTGTTAGTTTGAACATCTCTGCCTATTGCGGCTGCAGCTGGACGTACATTGTCCTTCCCATCTATCCCGCGTATTGTTCTGTCCTTTTTTTCTTGCTCGTTTTTTTTTTTTTTATGGAACTTGTAGATTTATTTATTTGCCAAGACACGCAAAAGAGGTACGGGATTTCCAAGCCCTATTGGTCATTGCGATTTTTTTTTCTCCTGTTTCCATTCATCACTCTCTTACTGAATATAGAGGCCCTGCGGGCTGCCCTTTTTTTTTACCTAAAGCTTCAAGCAAGGAATTCGGTTGGTTTCAATGGAAGTTGCGTGGCCTTCGGGGTCCCTGCCGCTGAAAACACAGGCCATTCGTTTTATAGCAGTGCTTTTTATTTCTATTTGTACCCTCGCCTGTGCACTAGTGGTGACCAATGCAAGAATGCCGGACCCCAAGGTTGCTCGGCCGCTGCCCGATGTTCTTTTCGAGTTGTTTCCAAAAGTTAGATGGCTAGAAAATATGACGGATGTTTGTATAGGCTTTCTTAACATGCTTAGTGCACTGGTCTTGTTTAAGTTGTACCTGCTTCATCGTCAGAGTGAGGAACTCAATGAACTACGGCTTCCATTTCAGATCCCATTTGTTAGCAAGTTCATTTTTGGCGTCTGGGAAGGAAGCCAGGATACAGGAATTGAAAGGCGAGACGTGCATTTGATTGCTTGGATTCGTTTTGTAACAACGTACTTTATAATTTTGCTGTTTCGTTCACTTGTTATTGTCATGACGTCGTATCCTGCGACAGACAATCACTGCCAGAAGCCAGTGAAAATTACAAATCCGGTGAAAAACATCATTTTGGCGGTGGTAACGTTTGGTTATGGGGCAACTCACTGCGGGGATCTCATGTTTAGCGGTCATACGGTCAGCGTCACGCTTGGTTTCATGATACAGTGGGTCTATGGGCCCATGTTGCACGGAATATTTCGACCCGTGTCTGTTATATTGGTTTTTCTTAGTTTCTACTTCATTATTGCCTCCCGTTCCCACTATACAGACGATATTCTCGTCTCCTTCTATGCGACGGCCGTGACCTTTCTAGCGTTGCGTCATTCACCGGAGGGTGCCCCGCGACAACTGCAGCTTTTAATTGGCTGGTGGCCGTGTTGTGGCTCTAGCAGGGCAAACGAGGGTGAGAGTAGCAATGCCGTCCTGGTGACTGTTGATACGCCTCCTCCAGAAGAAGAATATCAGAGTACAGTGGGGGTGGATATAAAAGACGAAAATGCGGTTGCACTGGCTCGCACGCACATGGTGTAATGTGATGGAGAAGTGGCAGTGTGTGCAGATAAGGGAAACCTCAGGAGTGCTATAGGCATGCAAGCACACATAGGCCTTCCCCCCTCATTTGGAGCTCACTTGAAGCAATGAGGCCACAGGCCATGCGGCCAACCAAAATATATGAAATAATGACGTATTTTTTAATTTAATTTTTTTTTATATTTTTTCCTTTATGCATGCCTGTTTATGCTGTGTTGAATTTGTTTTTGCTTGTGAGATTAACTTGCACATCTAAACGCTACTCATAACTAAAACTAGACACTGAGGAGGAGGGAGAGAGACTGTGATGTACGTATAGCTTTCTGTACTGGTGCCTGCATGTTTTTTACCTTGTTCTGGACACCGTCATAAATCGCAATCGCATCTTTTGACAAATATGATGATTCTGGTAGTAGTTGTGGTGATGGTGGCGGAGGTCACAGTGACACCGTTGCATTTGCTATCTTTTATTCCATGGGTTTTTCTGGAACGCGTCTTCTCGAATTGGTTTCTTATATAGCAAAGCATTACAAATTTAAAACGACAGCATTTTTATTGCGCTTCTTAAAGAATAATGTCTCCAGCTACGCTTGTTTCATCCTCTTGTAAGGCATTGGGCGCGGACCGGGTTCGCTGGTACCGCCACAACCCCTATGGTCCTTACGTTTCGGAGCCAGTGTCCGCCGTAACTTGCGCTCCTGCCATGTTTACCGCCGCCTTGGATCCTCCTTCCCTTGCGGAGATCAGCCTGAAAGCTAAAGCAACGGATGCATCGCCAACTGAGAATACAAAGGAGACTGTTGGTTGCACCGGTCTGCTGGGGTTTAAGTACGGAGTGAAAAGGTTCCATGCTCCCTTTGGCGTTCAGGTGGGAGATGCGTTGGTCACGGAGGGGGACCGCGGTGAGGACCTTGGCTTTGTCAAGCTCGTTGAACCTTTCTCAGGCAAGCCGAGCCGGGATGGAGTGAGAGTGCTTCGCGCAGCCACGCCTGAAGACCTTGAATGCCACAATGCACTTGCTGAAAAGGAGAAGATGGCGCTTAGCACCATGTGCATGCTTGCATGGAAGGTAAGGTGTCCTGCATATATTAAGGACGTCATGTATCAATTTGACGGTCGCAAGATAACCGTTATTATTGCCAGGAAATCAGGATCGTTTGTCGATTTTCGACGCCTTCAGCGAGCAGCCTTTGAGGTGTTTTGTTGCCGCGTGTGGTGTGCGTATCTTGATGAGATTGTTGTGCCACAAGCGAATGACGATACAAGTGGCACTCCTCCACCGTCACGACAAAGTGCCATACACAGGCGAGGAAACTCTTGTTCAGGGAGGATGCTGCAAGAAGCTCGTGAAGCGCACGCCCACGCATAGGCGCTAATGCACATCCGCGTATAATAAATTATATATGTAATATGCACAACAAAAACTGAAGCAATAAGGAAAATAGTGAGAAAGAGAGAGAAGAAGGAAATACGTGTACGGGGAAGTGAAAAAAAAAAAAAGCAAAAACAAAAGATAACATGATTCTAGTGAAGTCTCGTCATACCTCCGGTGTAGTATTAAGGACGGAAAATGAGAAAAATAGGAGATGAGGGGACGCAACTGATGTAAACACGCCTATAATCTCTCTTTTTTACTCGCTATCTCGCTTTTTGTTTTGGAGGGACTGTGCGCAGGAGTACTTATGATTGAGCTCTCTCCCTCCGTTTTTATTATCTTGATATTTTTTTTTTTTGGTTTCGTACCTTGCTTCCCGTTTATTTGCCTTATGAACTGTTATATTGCCACTGCGTCAAACCCATCTGACCAAATGTCACTACTTTTTTTCTCGTACTTGCTTATGCGTACGTCATGGAGGAGTGGAGGACATTATCATCAGGTCTGCACTGTACTTTGTCGGCGTTTTGGGTTTACTCGTGTGCTGAGTGGGGGTTGTGGCCGGCATATGAGCGGGAGTGGTAGATGACGGGACTGGTAAAAAGGAAGCATCATTACAAGTCGGAGCAAACCAAGTTCTACTTATACAGGTGATGAAATAGTTTATTGTTTGTATTTTTTTTATTTTGTTTTGTTTTTTTCTGTAACTTACTTAGCTTGCGCGAGGAAGTGATGGGGGAAAGTAGAGAACCCGTAATGTATGCAATTTGCCAATGCTGGTGATTGTATAAGTGGAAAACCGATGCGTGGATGTTTTTTTTTGTTTTTTGTTTTTTTTTTTTTTTTATTTTTCGTTAGTTCGGTTGGTTGGTT